CTAAACTCGAAATAGAGCACCAACCCCCCTGATTTTGCATTAATTTTGTACTGTACCCGGGGTGTTATATCCGAGGGATTACGGTAATCAGCGTAAAATTCCTGATATCGTAGGGCCTGGTGGGGTGCATGGGATGGGATGGGCAATGTGTCACAAAGACTAGGAACGGTAGGAGGCCATAGAATGGCACGAGGGTTAAGCTAGAAACGTAAGTTGACGAGAGAAAAGTGAGAAGAGAATAGAAGAGAGAGTGATACAAGGAGGGGGGTTGTATTGTCTACAGTAGGTTTCAGTAACACCTACCAAGCCTACCAATTATATATCAAAGATTAATTTAACACATCCCCTAGGCTTGGTAGCCGAAAACACACCACACAGGGGACACTAAGCCACACGCACCCCCTAAATCTAGCTCCCCCATACTCAGTAGCAGTGACGGCTACACCAGCCCAGTCAACCCCTCGGCGCGTGAGGGGCGACGTCGACAGCAAGGGCTGCGGCGGCGACGGCGGCAGCGGCGGTAGCGTTGACAGCAGCAGCGGCGGCGGCATGCGGCGGCATGGCCCCAACGCAAGCGGCGACAGCGGCGGCGGCGGCGGCTTCGACAACAGCGGCAACGGCTCACAGCACTCGGCGGCGTGGCCGGGCTCCGCGACGGTGGGACGGCCAGCGTTAGTCAGCCATCGGCTGCGGCGAGGAAGAGGGGACGCAGGGAAGGGGGGCGGGACTTCTGCAACATGCCCGTGGCTGGCGTGCGGGCGTCAGGACCAACGGCGCCTAAGACGTCACTCGGCCCGCTGCCGCCCGTCGACGCTGCCACTGCTGCATAACGCCGGCTCCACAGCGCGGCGTCGATGCCGCGGCCGTACGTCGACGCTGCGACGGCAGCACGACGCCGTCGCCGCGGTGTGGCGTCGACGCCACGCGTCGGGGCTGCGACGGCAGCACCATGACGCCATCACTGCAGCGCGGCATGGCCGCGACAGCGGCACGAAAGGAGCGGAAATGACGACTGGGGGACGGGTACGCGGCGGAAGCGTGGGGAGCAGGCCCGGGAAGGGCAACCTGCTCTGTTACCATGTCACAAAGACTAGGAACCAGGGCCTAAAATTCGTTTAGAGGTACCCTGATCAATCAGCCATCCCCCCTTACTTTCCCCTGATGTGTCAGTGTTGATGGTAAAAAAAATGCTGTTTCTTCAGTGTTAGAAGGGAAAAAAAATCCGATCATTCAGTGTATACACAGAAAACTACGCTGAGGTGAAAAAAACACAATTTAAAAACCACAATTACACATCGTCGACAGGGCACTCCATGGCTGCTGCTGCTGCTGTCTCTTCCTGCTCTCCCTCAGCATTCACATCCTCGTCCACGTTCTCTTTTCCCTTCTTGCTCGGCATGCTCACTTTAACAGTGCCGAAGGGGCGCCTCTTCTTATACGCCCGCCAAATCTGTACTACAGCGTCCCAGTCCGGCACGTAGTCTAACAGGGACAAGCACATGAGATCACCTAGCCTAGTGTCCTTCAGGCTATTCCTCAGCCAGCTCTTAATCACGTTCTGGCAGGAGAATTCGCGTTCACACTCAACGGTGCTCAGAGGCAGCACCGCCACAGCGATCCACAGACCCACAAGGTTGGGATACTGGTCCTTCAAGGCAGCGGCGGTCTTCAGCACAAATGACAGGGCAGCATGAAACTTCTTGTCACACTTTAGGAGACGAGCAAGCATGGGGGCGTAGTGTCGCAGCTCTTTTATCGCCTTGCGTTTGTCAATGCCTGAAACACAATTGGACACGGACGATTAAGGATGGTTAGACGAGAAAACAAGCCACGAACAAAAGCACAAGGCAATAGGTTAATACAGGCATTGCACCTGGCAGAATTTCGTCAGCATCCTCTGCGCGATACAGAGTGACGAGTGATTGGAACCACTCGACACACTGAGCCAGCCTCGCTTCCCGCTCCCATTTCTCTGGCCACTGGTCGGCAGAGAAAAGGCAAACGCCGTTCAAAGAATCCAGATCTCCAAGACGCTCCTGCAGGTTCCTGACCATGTCTTCGGCAACCTCGGTGCACACGTCGACGCAGGCATTGTGTGTCCCCCGTCCTGGGTAGTCGTCCATTTCGTTGAAATGAAGACTTATAGTGAAGCGTGCAGGGCGGCCATCAGAATCCGCACCCTCAACGATGACGTTGGGCGAACCGCCCGGGCCGTGACGGGTGATGAACTGCACAAGCCGGGTCTTCTCGCCGCCTCCGAAGTCGTCGCCGAAGTTGATGTACCGGCTCTCGATGAGGCCGGTTGTGTGCGCGATCTGCTGCTGGACGCTCGTGTAGTCCAGCTGTACGAATAGAGATGGGGAGACGGGTGAGTAGAGGAGGCAAGAGCACACGGTAGGCTGAAGCACAAGTACTAACCTCACGCTGCTGAAAGGTCTTGTTCAAGATGTTCAACTGCTCAAGAACATCAGCCAGAAAGTTCAGGAAGAACTAGAAGCGGTAACTAGTGGCGATGGCGTATAACTTGGGGTTGCGGACACGGAACTCATACAGCATGACGACCACAGCAGGGAGAACAGCAAGAAGACGAAGGATAGCCTCGCCGTGTGAAAGCCACCTGATGGCGTGAATACCCTGGAGCTCTAGGTTGGTTGAGGTGAAGAGCTCCTGACGGTCGAGGAAGCGCTGATGCCAGGGCCCCGATCGCCCAAGAAGCTCGGCAAGCTGGCGGATGAGATCATCCACCATGGAGAGTGCAGGTATGTTCTCCGCTGCCGCCTTGAAAGCTAGTGCCTCCCTACATACACAAAATAACAAAAAGTGTAAGTATCGGTACATATATACAGCGCGCACAAACATGCATAGAAAAAACCAGACTAATTACCGATGTGCGATGCAGTGGCACGACACCAGGTGGGGGATGTGGACACGCAAGCGCGCTACAAGCCCCCCCTTAGCACCCATCATCACAGCAGCTCCGTCGGTGCTGATGCCTGAAATCCGACGGAGGTCAACCCCAATGGCATGGATGTGGGAGAGGAGGAGGGCAAGAAGCGATGCGGCATCAGCCTTCTCGACTGTCAGCAATGTGAGGAACTCAGTCACAAGTCTCTCTTGGCGGATGAACGTGGCAAACACGATCATGTGTTTGCCACGACAGCGGTTGGTGCTCTCGTCAAGGCTCAGGCCGATGAAGGGGCTTGTAAGAAGATGCTCAAGCTGAGTGGTTTGGAGCCAGGTTGCCATAGCTTGAGTAAACTATCCAAAGCCATACCTGTAAAACAAGAGGCAAGAGTTCAAGCATTAGGGTCGAAATGAAATGACATCGTTAACAAGAGAGCGATTCTTAGAAACAGATGACGAATCCCTAGAGTAATACGGTGCAGCAAAACACGGAAGGTAAATGGGTGCTTACGAGTTGTAATACGTCCCCTATCCCTTCTCAGGGAAGCCCCTCATCTTGCGTTCCGCCAATTAGCGGACGAGATTGATCCAGGTCTCCATCGGCTCATTGCAGCGGCTGCTGAAGTAGAGCGCATTGCAGAGTGCAGTGACGTGCAGTTTCTCCAAGTCCTCTGCCAGCGTGTGCAGGTCGATCCTCTGCTGTTTCGTCGCCATCTGCAGCAGATCGTGTTGCTTCTTCTCGGCAAGTTGATGGTGACTCGTAGCAGCATGTTGCTTGAAGGCTTGGACTTGCACATCGGTTGCCCCTTTGCCACGCCTGCCTGTTTTGCCCTTGAGGCCTGCATGCTCGGTACAAAGACTGCACCTGAAGGCAGGCATGCCACTGTCAGTCTTTGTAAAAAGGAGCCAAGGGTATGAGCTTGACCAGCGTGAATTATACTTGTCTAGGGCCTCGCCGTATTGCTCGTCAATAGTCAAGTGCCTCTTACCGCCAGCCTTTCCTGGAAGGTCATCTTCAGCACCTTCGTCCTCGGACGCGGAAGACGAGGGCAGGTCGGGCAGATTCACAGGTGGCGCGAAGGGGAGTCGTGATTGCCGGTACTTTCCTAAGCGCTTCGACGGGGTAGGCTCTGGCAGTCGATCGTCAACAGCAAAAGCGTCGCGTTGTGCAGCAGTCGATCCCGACGGCCCAGCGATAGGCGGGACAGCAGCGTGCTTTCTGGCTCCCTGAGTTCCCTCCGGCAGCGATGTTGGCTCGTGCTCGGCATGTCTGGGCGACGGGCCTTGAATACTACCTAAAGAAGCAAGGAGTAAGTCTAGGCCTGTGCGCATGTCGCCTTCTAGGATGTGGCAATCATCGTCCTCTGTGGCGAGCTCGTTATCACCACCTGATTCTGCCATCACGAGCCACGGCAGTATCAAGCGTGATCACATCAGTGGCGTAGCGGTTCTGTAGTCACGCAGAAACAATTCTGGAAGAGGAACAAACGAGACTGGTGAGGGGTGGGACGATGGTGGTAACGAGCCTGGGAGGGAACTTGAGATGGGCTGCTTTCATAAAACTGGCGAGGCAGAACCTTCGTTCAAGGGGTCCCACGAACGCGGCGCGCGCACCTTGCCCAACATGCATGGCAAGGTGGGTGATGCGCGGTTCAGGACAGGCACGTGGGTGGTCGTTGCCATCCAGTCCCTGCCGCGCTGTTACATCATGACGCGCTGTGCTGCCTCCTCCGAATAGCTGGGATTGGACCTCATGTCGAGATTTTGGTGAAGTGCCAATGGGAGCATTCAGTCTCCCATGTGCTGGCGCCAGCGGGAGTGGAAAAATCGTCAAGTGCCAATCAGAACAGTCTGTCACCGAACAGAACAGAACAGACTGTTTCTGCAGGGCCGCCGTCGGGCGGCGTGGTGGGCAAACTAACGTGATTGACGGGAGCCTCCCCAGTCAGGTACCGGTAATTCCGGGGGAGAGGGAAACACACTATACTCGGTTTCAGCGTTCCCCCCTAGGGTCACGCTGTTTCGTCAGCCTACAGATACAAAGAAACGCAGAAAAATCAGTATACGTGACAAAAGAAAGGCTGATTTTCAGTGTTACTTATCCAAAAAAGGCTGAGTGATCAGTGTGTACCCTAAAAAAAAGTCTGAAAAAACCCTGAATCAGCGTAAAAAGGCTGATATCTAGGGCCCTGCTAGGAACGGTAAGAAGCCATAGAATGGTACGAGGGTTTAGCTAGGAACTTAAGTTGACGAGAGAAAAGTGTGAAGAGAATAGAAGAGAGGGATAAAAGGAGGGGGTTTGTACCCTCTACAGTAGGTTCCAGTAACACCTACCAAGCCTACCAATTATATATCAAAGATATAATTTAACACAATGGGCAGGAGAGCAAGGCCAGGCGAATATGCTGTACGTCCATGAGACAATGGGGTGCTCCAGAGCCATGCAAGATAAAGGGTGACATACCCTGGATCCCCCTGCTAAACTTCAACTTTTCAGAAGTCTCAAAAACCTTGGATCCCCCTGCTAACTTTATCCTTGAAATCGAGTCCTGGGGTGCGCAGACGGCGCAACCGGAACGCGCGTGTGCTGTGCAGTGCTTGCATGACAGCAGCTCGCATCATGCTTCATTCTCACTGTCCGGCACAATCTGCGCACACCCGGCAGAGCACCATGCACGCTGAGACACGCGCACTGCACCCAAACAGGCTCACGGCGGTCACGGAGTGAAGGGCAGCTCTTCAGCAAGCCTTTCAGGATAGGAACAGGAAAGCCAAGTGGTTGCCATGCAGAGGCATGGGCAGGCACGGGGGGTGTGCACCTCGAGGTGTGTTGCGGGGTCCAGTGGAGGGCAGATGTCCCAGCGGTAGATGCGGCCATTGGCGCAGCAGCACAGGACCATGCTGCATGCCACGTGGAGCAGAGAGCAAGGGACACACACGGATGACGACCCTGCATGTGACGCGGCGCCCAGACGAGTTGTGAGTGTGGTACCAAGGCACGGCGCTGCTTGTGCACTCGGTGCTATCCCGCTCTGAGTAGAAAGCTGCAATGTTGTGCTCTGCACATAAATGTTGAATGCGTAGTCGTGGCAGGGGAGCCTTTCAGGGCGGAGACTCATCACCCGTCATCGTGCGACAGCTCACCTGCCATCGTGCGACAGCTCACCTGCCATTGTGCGACAGCTCACCTGCCATCGTGCGACAGTGCCACGCCCCTGATGGGCACGCTGGGGTTGGGGCGCAGGCTGCACGCGCACGTGGGAAGGGGGGGGGGGGGGGAGGGGAAGGGGGAGGGAGGGAGGGAGTGGCAAGCATGTGAGCGACTCGTGGTGAGACGAGTGGAGACAGACGGGTGAGGCCATGGCGCAAGCAGGCATGAGAGGCCTCCACTCATGGCGTCTGAATAATCTGATATCGTCAACATGTGAGCATTAACGGCAACAGGTGAGCATCAACAGCTTGTTCATGACATCCCGCTTGTTCATGACATCCCGCTCGTTCATGACATCCCGCTCGTTCATGACATCCCGCTCGTGCATGACATCCCCCTCGTTCATGACATCCCGCTCGTTCATGACATCCCGCTCGTTCATGACATCCCGCTCGTTCATGACATCCCGCTCGTTCATGACATCCCGCTCGTTCATGACATCCCGCTTGTTCATGACATCCTGCTCGTTCATGACATCCCGCTCGTTCATGACATCCCGCTCGTTCATGACATCCCGCTCATTCATGACATCCCGCTCGTTCATGACATCCCGCTCGTTCATGACATCCCGGCACCACCTGAGGCGCTGTGAGATGTCTCCCACTCTATACACCGCCACCTCATCCGTGCCGCTCCCTGCCATCAAGATTCAAACCATGGGATCACGCATGGTGGCATGGTGGTATGGTGGCATTGTGGCATGGTGGCATGATGGCATGATGGTATGATGCACAAACGTTGAGAAGAAAAAACAGTCATGCGTCATCACAATGCAGCGAGACAGCGGTAAGAGAAGTGAATTGCCTTCTTTGCCCCCAAGAATACATGCACTCGCAACTAGTGGGAATAGATTGCATGCAGCGAATGCAATGGTTGTATGTAGCATGGGGCGCCATGTGACAGCATGCAGCGAATGCAATGGTTGTATGTAGCATGGGGCGCCATGTGGCAGCATGCAGCGAATGCAATGGTTGTATGTAGCATGGGGCGCCATGTGACAGCATGCAGCGAATGCAATGGTTGTATGTAGCATGGGGCGCCATGTGACAGCATGCAGCGAATGCAATGGTTGTATGTAGCATGGGGCGCCATGTGACAGCATGCAGCGCCATGCATGTTGGCGGGCAAGCACCCACGGAGTGCGAGGACGCGCCGCGGTGCTGTCATGGAGAAGCGCGGGGGGCGGCCATCCGAGGGGGGAGGCGCCTCCAACTCAAGAAGGACCTCAGAGGAGCCCTGCGGGAGGAAAGGGGGGACGGGATGGCCAAGCGGTGCAGCGCATGTGCTGAGATGGCGGTGTGATGATGGACGGCTGTGCGGCACTGTTGCCCTCATGCACCGGGCAGCGATGGACAGGCGACAGGCGACAGGCGACAGGCGACAGGCGACAGGCGACAGGCGACAGGCGACAGGGGACGGGCGACGGGCGATGGGCGACAGGCGACAGGGGACGGGTGACAAGCGACAGGCGACAGGCGACAGGCGACAGGCGACAGGCGACAGGCGACAGGCGACAGGCGACAGGTGACAGGCGACAGGCGACAGGCGACAGGCGACAGGTGACAGGCGACAGGCGACAGGGGACGGGCGACAGGCGACAGGCAACAGACGACAGGCGACAGGCGACAGGTGGGGCACAAAGAAAGTTGAGAGGGCTGTGCGTGAAGGGCAGAAGAAGCATCTCCATGAAGCAGTAAGCGCATGGCACGGTGCAGCACAGCACGGGATGCGACACTGACAGTGGCATGCACCCACAATGATCACCTGGGCACCCCAGCACACCACCCCGCACTACACCTTGGAGCCCCTCGCTGACCTCCTTTATGTCGACCCCCCGCTTGAAGTTCCACTGCCACACTCGCACGCTGCCCGCCACGCACTGCACCACACGAGTCAGGTTGACCGGGGCACATGAGGTGGGTTGACCGGGGCACATGAGGCGGGTTGACCGGGGCACATGAGGTGGGTTGACCGGGGCACATGAGGCGGGTTGACTGGGGCTCATGAGGTGAGTTGACCAGGGCACGAGGCGGGTTGACCGGGGCACATGAGGTGGGTTGACCAGGGCACATGAGGTGGGTTGACCGGGGCACATGAGGTGAGTTGACCAGGGCACATGAGGTGGGTTGACCGGGGCACATGAGGTGGGTTGACCGGGGCACATGAGGTGGGTTGACCGGGGCACATGAGGTGGGTTGACCGGGGCACATGAGGTGGGTTGACCGGGGCACATGAGGTGAGCTGACCAGGGCACATGAGGCGGGTTGACTGAGGTACATGAGGCGGGTTGACTGAGGTACAGGTGAATATAGCGCGGCTCTCACTCAAGTGACTTAGCATGCGTCCACATGCAAGAGACGATTCATGCACCTTTTGCGCTACTGACGAGCACAGCCGTCCCTTCAAACGAATTGTGCAGGGATTCGACTCTGCCTCAACGGGCGAGTGTGCTGGCCTCAACGGGCGAGTGTGCTGGCCTCAACGGGCGAGTGTGCTGGCCTCAACGGGCGAGTGTGCTGGCCTCAACGGGCGAGTGTGCTGGCCTCAACGGGCGAGTGTGCTGGCCTCAACGGGCGAGTGTGCTGGCCTCAACGGGCGAGTGTGCTGGCCTCAACGGGCGAGTGTGCTGGCCTCAACGGGCGAGTGTGCTGGCCTCAACGGGCGAGTGTGCTGGCCTCAACGGGCGAGTGTGCTGGCCTCAACGGGCGAGTGTGCTGGCCTCAACGGGCGAGTGTGCTGGCCTCAACGGGCGAGTGTGCTGGCCTCAACGGGCGAGTGTGCTGGCCTCAACGGGCGAGTGTGCTGGCCTCAACGGGCGAGTGTGCTGGCCTCAACGGGCGAGTGTGCTGGCCTCAACGGGCGAGTGTGCTGGCCTCAACGGGCGAGTGTGCTGGCCTCAACGGGCGAGTGTGCTGGCCTCAACGGGCGAGTGTGCTGGCCTCAACGGGCGAGTGTGCTGGCCTCAACGGGCGAGTGTGCTGGCCTCAACGGGCGAGTGTGCTGGCCTCAACGGGCGAGTGTGCTGGCCTCAACGGGCGAGTGTGCTGGCCTCAACGGGCGAGTGTGCTGGCCTCAACGGGCGAGTGTGCTGGCCTCAACGGGCGAGTGTGGCCACGGGGGTGTGCTGGCCTCAACGGGCGAGTGTGCTGGCCTCAACGGGGGGGGGGCGAGTGTGCTGGCCTCAACGGGCGAGTGTGCTGGCCTCAACGGGCGAGTGTGCTGGCCTCAACGGGCGAGTGTGCTGGCCTCAACGGGCGAGTGTGCTGGCCTCAACGGGCGAGTGTGCTGGCCTCAACGGGCGAGTGTGCTGGCCTCAACGGGCGAGTGTGCTGGCCTCAACGGGCGAGTGTGCTGGCCTCAACGGGCGAGTGTGCTGGCCTCAACGGGCGAGTGTGCTGGCCTCAACGGGCGAGTGTGCTGGCCTCAACGGGCGAGTGTGCTGGCCTCAACGGGCGAGTGTGCTGGCCTCAACGGGCGAGTGTGCTGGCCTCAACGGGCGAGTGTGCTGGCCTCAACGGGCGAGTGTGCTGGCCTCAACGGGCGAGTGTGCTGGCCTCAACGGGCGAGTGTGCTGGCCTCAACGGGCGAGTGTGCTGGCCTCAACGGGCGAGTGTGCTGGCCTCAACGGGCGAGTGTGCTGGCCTCAACGGGCGAGTGTGCTGGCCTCAACGGGCGAGTGTGCTGGCCTCAACGGGCGAGTGTGCTGGCCTCAACGGGCGAGTGTGCTGGCCCTGGCGCCTCAACGGGCGAGTGTGCTGGCCTCAACGGGCGAGTGTGCTGGCCTCAACGGGCGAGTGTGCTGGCCTCAACGGGCGAGTGTGCTGGCCTCAACGGGCGAGTGTGCTGGCCTCAACGGGCGAGTGTGCTGGCCTCAACGGGCGAGTGTGCTGGCCTCAACGGGCGAGTGTGCTGGCCTCAACGGGCGAGTGTGCTGGCCTCAACGGGCGAGTGTGCTGGCCTCAACGGGCGAGTGTGCTGGCCTCAACGGGCGAGTGTGCTGGCCTCAACGGGCGAGTGTGCTGGCCTCAACGGGCGAGTGTGCTGGCCTCAACGGGCGAGTGTGCTGGCCTCAACGGGCGAGTGTGCTGGCCTCAACGGGCGAGTGTGCTGGCCTCAACGGGCGAGTGTGCTGGCCCTGAGCCCTCAGCCCTGAGTCGTGAGCCCTGAGCCATGAGCCGTGAGCCCTGAGCTGTGAACCGTGAGCCCTGAGCCGAGAACCGTGAGCCCTGAGACCTGGGCCCTGAGACCTGAGACTGAGCCCTGAGCCCTGAGCCCTGAGCCGTGAGACCTGAGCATTACCTGCGAGACAAAGAGGCCTCCGTGGAACCAGGCCTGCTGAATGGGGCTGGAGTGCACTCGAGACGCCACAAAGCCCTGCAGAATGAGGCAGCGGTCATTCGGTCATGGAGAGCGGCATGAGGCAGCGGTCATTCGGTCATGGAGAGCGGCATGAGGCAGCGGTCATTCGGTAATGGAGAGCGGCATGCGCATAAGAGTGCGTGTAAATGCAAAACGTGCAACAAGCGACCGCTCTTATGGAGCGATGAGGTGGCGCCTTGAGAACAACAGCCAAGCGAAGGTTGCAGGAGGAAAAACCGAGCACTCGAGATTGGAGCATTGGTATGCGTGGCAGCCAAGGGAATGGCGTACCGGCAGCGTGACTTGCTTGGTGGGGAAGTCGGACGGCCTCCCCTCCCACGCAGCCGCCCGATCCACGAGGTGCCAGTGCTCTGCCGCACACCGACACGGCATGCAATGAGAGTGCGGATGGGGTCAGAGCTCGAGTCATGGAACCCAAGGCACATCCGAGACTTGTGCTCTCACACGTGAGGAATGAGAAGCATGTGAGGAATGAGAAGCATGTGAGGAATGAGAGGGATGAGAGGGATGAGAGGGATGAGAGGGATGAGAGGGATGAGAGGGATGAGAGGGATGAGAGGGATGAGAGGGATGAGAGGGATACGAGGGCATGGCGCACCTCTGAGGTTCCACACGCACACTCTCGCATCCTCCCCCGCCGTCACCACTGCCATCCGCTCCAGGCCGCTCACGTCCTGCCCTGGGGCACACGGAAGGCAACGGGGCACACGGGACCAGTGGGGCCAATGGGGGCAACGGGGCCAACCAGCGAAGCACATAAGTGTGGATTGAGTTGAACATGAAATGAGGACTTGCCCGCACCACACTGCCACGCCCTCACCACACTGCCATGCCCTCACCACACTGCCATGCCCTCACCACACTGCCATGCCCTCACCACACTGCCATGCCCTCACCACATTGCCACCCCCCCGGCCCTCACCACAGTGAGCACCGGGCCTCGGTGGATGCCCACGAGAACCATGCAGCACACCCCGCGCTCCACGTGCCACACCCACACGGAGCCGTCCTGGCGAGGGGCGGGGTGGGGGAGGCAAGGGGGGGATGATGCTCTGAGATGCCTTGAAGCCGCATGCCGCACACCCCTCTGTTGGAAAAAACGCACAGCAGGCTTTGCGTATTGCGTATATACGCTTGCGAATAAACGCAATACGCTGATACGCTTGGAATACGCGATACGCAATATCGGGCCTGCCGGGCGAAAAAATAATCGAAATTCTTTTTTTTTTTTCGCGAGTTCGCGACATCGCGAACTCTCAGAAAATTTCAGCCGTGCTCTTTCGTCCACCCCCTCACCAGCAGCAGTGGACCGGTCAGCAGCAGCAGTGGGCGAGAGTGGCTGCAGCAGCTGTAGAAGTAGTAGCAGCAGTGCTAGCAGTGGCAGGGGGGGTCGGGCTAGTGGAGTTTTGCTGGGATGTGGTGTTTGGGGGGGGGAATGTGGTCCTGGATAGATGTGACAAATGCCTGTGTTAAGTTATTCTAATGGAGGAAAAAAAAGTCAACCTTGATGCCCTGCCCCTCCCCCTGTGCCCCTCCCCCCTCTACCGGCTGCCCGTCGGTTTGTTTTGCCTGCCCAGGCAAAAAAAATCCGCTGCCCGGGCAGCCGTATTCCTGCCGTATTGGACCCCAAACCCCCGCGTATAGCGAATATACGCAAGCGTATATACGCTAGCGTATAAAACGCAATACGCGTATTTTCCAACACAGGCACGCCCCTCTGCCCACGTGCCACACTCACATGGAGCCATCCAGATGAGGAGGAGGAGGCGGAGGTAGTGGAGACAGGAACAGAGGAGAGAAGGGAGGGGAGATGGCGTGAAGAGGGCAGTTGAGTGAGTGCAATGAAAGGCGGTAAGGGAGGGGCGCAGGGCATGAGAGGGCGAGAGGGGAGAGCAGCGCATGAGAGGGGGAGACGGCAGAGCAGCGCATGAGAGGGGGAGAGGGGAGAGCAGCGCATGAGAGGGGGAGACGGCAGAGCAGCGCATGAGAGGGGGAGACGGCAGAGCAGCGCATGAGAGGGGGAGACGGCAGAGCAGCGCATGAGAGGGGGAGACGGCAGAGCAGCGAGCCACCAATGTGCGCAGGAGAGGTGATGGCCGGATGATGCTGGGTGAGGGAGTAATGGTGGGTGCGAGGGAGTGATGGTGGGTGCGAGGGACTCACTTTGCTGGCAGAGAGGAGAATGGATGGCTGAGATGGATGCGCACAGAGATTTGTGATGGCATCACCCTGCCCCATCAGCGTCTGCAGCTCAGTCAGATACGAGATGGCATGAGATGGCATAAGATGGCATGAGATGGCATGAGATGGCATGAGATGGCATGAGATGGCATGAGATGGCATGAGATGGCATGAGATGGCATGAGATGGCATGAGATGGCATGAGATGGCATGAGATGGCATGAGATGGCATGCGATGGAATGAGATGGATGAGGTGGCATCAGATGGCATCAGATGGCATGAGGTGGCATGAGGTGGCACAAGGTGGCATGAGGTGGCATGAGATGAGATGGAATGAGATGGATGAGATGACATCAGGTGGCATAAGTTGGCATGAGATGAGATGGCCTGGGATAGATGAGGTGGCATGAGGTGGCATGAGGTGGCATGAGGTGGCATGAGATGCCATAAATGCACCTTGTTCTTTTACGCAGATGGGGGTTTAAATCGATCACAAGCGGCACGGCAGCAACCACGATATGGTTGCAAGCAACGACTAGCCGCGCAGTGCATGCCCACCTTGCCATGCCCACCTTGATGTGCCGCCGCGTGTGGAAGTCCACGATGCTGATTGCTCCGAGCTGGCCCCCAGCGGCGATGAGCACGCGCTCCTCCGCGCCCACCATCCACGCCACCGCCGCGTACCGCTCGCCGCCTCGCCCCTGCGAGGCAACGAGGAGAGGCATTGCCAATGAGGTTTTATAAGGGTCGTAAGTGTGGGGTATTGCCAATGCGGTTTTATAAGGGTCGTGAGTGCAGGGCATTGCCAATGAGGAGCTGCGGTGCGCATACCAGCAGCAGCAAAAGCAGCAGCAGCAAAAGCAGCCGCAGCAGCAGCAGCAGCAGCAGCACGACAAGCAACCAAAGTTCCTCGGTGTGTGTGCAGTGATTGTCGCAAGTGAACCTCCGAGACATCACTCACCTGCATACCGCCTTACCCCCGCGTTGCACTCACTGCAGCTGGTCCAGGGGCGTCCGCATTCGGCTCTGGCGCAGCCGTGCTTGGAGCTGCGGCGTCCGCGTTCTCAGCTCTCTGCCACGAGGTCCAACGAGGCGGGCGGAGATGGATATGAGAGGGCGCACGACCAGAAGCACCCCAGCGTCGGCATCACTAATGCAATGCTCCATGAAACCCATGCGCCATGAAACCCATGCTCCATGAAACCCATGCGCCATGAAACCCATGCTCCATAAAACCCATGCGCCATGAAACCCATGCGCCATGAAACCCATGCGGCATGAAACCCATGCTCCATGAAACCCATGCGCCGTGAAACCCATGCTCCATGAAACCCATGCTCCATGAAACCCATGCGCCATGAAACCCATGCTCCATGAAACCCATGCTCCATGAAACCCATGCGCCATGAAACCCATGCTCCATGAAACCCATGCGCCATGAAACCCATGCTCCATGAAACCCATGCGCCATGAAACCCATGCTCCATGAAACCCATGCTCCATGAAACCCATGCTCCATGAAGCCCATGCTCCATGAAACCCATGCTCCATGAAACCCATGCTCCATGAAACCCATGCGCCATGAAACCCATGCTCCATGAAACCCATGCGCCATGAAACCCATGCGCCATGAAACCCATGCTCCATGAAACCCATGCGCCATGAAACCCATGCGCCATGAAACCCATGCGTCATGAAACCCATGCTCCATGAAATCCATGCGCCGTGAAACCCATGCTCCATGAAACCCATGCGCCATGAAACCCATGCGCCATGAAACCCATGCTCCATGAAACCCATGCTCCATGAAACCCATGCGCCATGAAACCCATGCGCCATGAAACCCATGCGCCATGAAACCCATGCGCCATGAAACCCATGCTCCATGAAATCCATGCGCCATGAAACCCATGCTCCATGAAACCCATGCTCCATGAAACCCATGCGCCATGAAACCCATGCTCCATGAAACCCATGCGCCATGAAACCCATGCACCATGAAACCCATGCGCCGTTTCTACAAGGTCCGAAAAGTTTTGGCAAGAACAAGCAGAGCGAGAGCAGCACAACTTGAGTCCCCGGAGCCCCCCCCCCTCCCCCGAGTTTTAGGAGCGGTGCGCTTGGGGAGCGGTGCAGGCCGTGATGCCGAACTGGCCTCCTCCGAGCCTCCTGGCTGATTGGCACACGCCCCTCGTGCACTCACGCCCCCATGGAAGCACGTGTGGTGGCACTCACGCCCGCATGGAAGCACGTGTGGTGGTAGGCGATGGAGCCGTCGGCCTGGCAGGTGAACAGCATGATCTGCATGGCCCAGGGGGGAGGAGGGAGCAACGCGACGGCGACGCACGTCTGGCTGAGCGGCCGTCTGACATCGGCAGCAGCACACGGCGAGCAACCACTGGTGGCAACGAGTATATGATCGCGTATGCGTGATACGAACTTGTGCGGCGCCTCACCGCGTTTGTGAAGGTGCAAGCGAAGTGATTGGCGTAGTCGGCGTGCCACGTGTTGAACGCCATGGCGGACGGCGCGCCGCCATCGTGGTCGAAGAGAAACGGCGCCTGTAGCCACGAGGGGCGGACGCGGATGGGCGCAACGGCGCGGATGGCGCTGAATGGAACGGATGGCGCCGAGCGGATGGCGCTGAAAGAGACTGGGCGGATTGCGATGCACGCTGCAACGACGCCTGAGAAGCTTCCTGGCTCCTACTACTAAAAACGTAAGCCGAGATACAGAGCGAGCTGGTGCAAGTGACCTCCCGCGGCGCACCTGAAGCGTGGCGTGCGGCGGTGGTGGTGGTGCGTGCTCCGCGGAGATCCCAGCGGCCGCCATGCGCTGCTGCCCCACCGCGTGCCGTGCGGGGAGAAGGGAGCGGGGCGACGAGCAGCGACGCGGCGTTGTTGGCAAGGCGAGCGGCGCGGCGAAGCGGTGGATGACGCGTCTTGTTGGGCAAAGAAGCGTTTCGGTAATAGTAGACGCTGTACGCATTTGATGGCATTCTCGTGCCTTCCTTGAGATTCACGTCAGCTCTCGTGCTCCATGATTCCACGTGATGGGCTTGACGATGCTGTTGTGCGGGTCGTCAGTGTGAGTGACTGCGCTCACTCATCGGCTCTCACAGAAACGACCGATGCCGCGCGGACGGACATGCTGGATTGTGATGGTGGCGTGGAGCTCGGAATTTTGAATTTGAACATCAGCTGTAACACACAGATCTTTTCAAAACACTTGCTGCAAAATTGTCTGCAAGTTTGTGCATATGGTTCAAGATATAGTTCTTGTAACGGTGGTAGTGACTCCCAGAGGAGATATTTGTTCCGCTTGGGAGGCAAAGGTGTGCTTCCCTCCACCTCTTCCGCCGCACCTTCCAGCAGCGCATCAGTCCGCGTCAGCAGCTTCCAGCCAACCATGTCGCGTGCTCCAGCGAGCGTGGCAAGAATGGCCCTCGCTGCCAGCGTGTCCCGCACGGACCTCGGAGCTCGGCTCAACCCAAACCAAACCAGCCCAAGGCTCGTCGTGGCTATGTGTAGATCTTCGCGCTTGTGTGACTTGACTGCCGCCGCATCTCGAATTCTCTTAGCGTCTTCCAGATTTTCATTTTCGACCGATCTTTGTCGAAACGCTATTTTCGCTACTTAGTTGCACACCTAACCGACATATTTGAGCAACATACATCGTCGCTGTAGAGCTGCACACAGCCGTTCCGCGAGGCGAGCGAGCAAGGGACATGGCAGGGCAGGCTGGCAGGGATGGCGCCGACGTCAGCGGCGGGGAGCGGCCCGGCGTGAGCGTGCAGCCGCCGTCGGCCGTGTCGTCGTCGTCGCTGTCGTCGCCGGGGACCGCCGGCGCGCCGCGGCCCTCCAAGGTGAGCCCTCCCTCTGCCCATCGCTCTGCCCATCGCTCTTCCCCGCAGCGGTCGCTGCGGTGGCGCCTGTGCGGAGTGGTCGCAGTCGCGACGGGCTCCAAAGTTCGTCCCGTCCCGCTCGCCGTTGCCTCTACGTCGTTCGCCGTCGCCTCTACGTCGTTTTCCGTGTCGCCATCTTTCCGCTTCCTCTCTCCGCTGTATGCGTCCTTCCCCTCCCCCCACCCTGCCCTTCGCCCCGCCCTGCCCTTCGCCCCGCGCGTGGCAGCCGAATCCGTTCGGCGCGGCGCGGCCGCGCGAGCAGGTGATAGCGGAGCGCAAGGGCGTGACGGAGGCGGACCTGCTGCGGGAGCTCGCGTCCAAGGAGTGGCGCCCCACGGTGAGCCGTGACTCGTTATAGGATGGCGGCTTGATATAAGACTCCTTGTAGACTGCCAAATCTAAGACGCGAGTTATAGAAAGGACGGCCTTGGGCAACCCAACGAGGGGCGGGGGAGGCGACGGAGAGGGCGAAGGGAGGGAGAGAAAGGGGAGAGCGGGAGGGTGGGGCGGTGATAGAAGAGGATGGCGGGAGGGGAGAACACGGGGCTGCGGTTTCGAAAGAGGGAATGAAAAAAGGGGGAAGGCGAAGAGGGGTGCCACCCCGGAGCACCTTCTCGCGTCCGTCCCTTGCTCCATGGGCTGAACACCGTCCTCGCACCTTGCCTCCCTTCTCCCCCCCCACCCCCCCCCCTTCCGCCTCCCTCCCTATACACACCCCCGTCCCCCGTTCCCCTCCCCCTCCCCCCCCTTTTCCCCCAGGTGGTGTTGTCGGAGGCGCAGAAGGAGGAGCAGAAGGCGGCGGAGGCGGAGCTCGCCTTTGCGCGCGAGGAGCTGGCGCGCGCGCCGGCGGGCGAGGAGGCGCGGAGGGCGGAGCTGGAGGGCGAGGTGAAGGCGCGCGAGAGCAAGTTGCAGGAGCTGATGGCGTCGTTCGAGGTGAGGTGCTCCCGCTGTTTTGTGGTATCCTCGTTTTATGCATCCTCGTTTGAGGTGGCACCGCTTGCGCCGTTGTTCTCGCCTCCGCGCCTCCCATGCGTCCCCATCCCCCCCGTTGCGCGAGTAGAGCCGCATGCTCCCACTCTCCCCCCCACTTTCACTGTCCCCCACCACCCCCCACCCCCTCCTCCCACCATGCCCCCTTGCCACTCTCCCCTCCCTCTCTGCGCGCCTCTCTCTCTCCCCTCCCACTCTGCGCGCCTCTCTCTCTCCCCTTCTCACGGCCCTCCCTGTCCGCTCTGCCGGCTTCCTCCCGCTCCCCAACCCCCCCCTCCCCGGTCTCGCTCTGCAGAAAATGGCGCTGGAGAAGCAGTCAGCAGGGGCGGGAGGGGGAGGCAGGCGCGGGGCGGAGAGGGGAGGAGCTGGGGGAGGGGCAGGGGGTGGGGGGCATGCCCATGCTGCCCCGGAGTCATATGGGGGGGGCTTCGGGGGGAGGCGGGAGAGGGAGGGGCATGGGGGGGAGCATGGGGGCGCGGGCAGCTATGGGGATGCGTGGGGGGGCGGAGGGCGGAGAGGGGGAGGAGGCGGAGGGGGAGGGGCGTGCTACAACTGTGGCGAGGTGAGCACGGCACATGCACCCGTACGGCGCAGGGATAGTCTTTAAAAGGAATGCTGTGTGTCGCACCAGTTACTACTGTGGAGGGGCATGGCGCAATGCAAGTGTGGCGAGGTTAGCTGTCGGGCTGCCACTGTGTCCGTCACAGTACCTACCTAGCGCGCTGTTGAGGGGTTCCTGTGCTTGAACATCGGTAGCGGATCTGCTGCTTGTGGGATGAAGTGGCGCCCAGGCATTGCTGCAGGCTGCTTCACTTTGGCCGCTGCATGCACGCGCACTATGTGCCGTGTGCTGACTGTCCTTGCCCCCCACTCCAGCCATGCCCTCCGTGGCACCGCATGGTGGCAGGGCGTGCGTACTCCCCGCACCCACTCACCAACCATGCCGTGCCCACCCATCATCCTGCCCCTCGTTCCCCAACCCCTGCACCCAACCCCTCACACCCCAACCTCTCACACCAACCTCTTGCACCCTCACCTGCTGCACCATAAACCCCAACCCCTCCGCCCAGGTGGGGCACTTTTCGGAACACTCATCAGCACCCAGTCCATTGCCCGACCCTAATCACCACCCAGCCATGCCAATATATCGCCCTGCTTGCATGCCCCTTGTGCCCTAACCACTTGCACCCTTGTGCCCAACCCCTTGCACCCCAACCCCTTGTACCCACCCTTGCACCGACCCCTTGCACCATAGTCCCTCACGCCCTAATCACTTGCGCCCCACCCTCTCCCCTCCCAGGTGGGGCACTTCTCCCGCGAGTGCCCCAACGCGCCTTCGGGCGCCGGGTCGCGCTCAGGCGGGTATGGCAGCCGAGGGGGCGGAGGGGGGCGCGGCGGCGGCGGGTGCTACAACTGCGGGGAGGAGGGCCACTTCGCGCGCGAGTGCCCCCAGGGCTCCTCATACGGCCGGTCCTCCAGCTTCGGCGGCGGGTATGGCGGCGGCGGGGGCGGCTACGGCAGGAGCAGCAGCTATGGCGGGGCATATGGCGGCGGTGGCGGGGGGTACGGCGGCGATGGGGGGGGCAGCGGTGGTGGGTACGGGGGTGGGGGAGGGAGCTACGGAGGGGGGTATGGAGGGGATGGAGGGGGAGGGGCTTCACGAGGGTATGATGACAAGGCGGGTGGGGGAAGACGGGGTTATGGAAGTGGGTGGGACAATGCGAGCTAGGTATGGGATGTGGTGCTTGTTCGCGAGGCCCAGAATGGCATGTTGATTTGGATTGTGTTGTTCCCGCCGTCACTGCAGCTGCGCTTCTGAGTATGGCATCACAACTAACGAGGGGTATTTGTCAGGAAGGGTCTGTCATCGTTGTCAATCCCATGAGCATCTCGTGTGAGGTCATTGATGTTCTATGTAATTCAACGGTTGACAGCGTTTGCTTGTGTGCTTTGAGATGACTCTGGCTGACTGTCCAGATGAACATTGTGGTCTGTCCTATCAGAATTAGTAAAGTGAATGATGATAGAGTGGGAGTACACACAGATATACCTAAGTGTTGTACCCTCTAAGAGGCTACCTTATACAGTCTATACAACCATGACAAATACACATGTTTGACACACCCCCTAGACTGCATAGGGGAATGTCCTAAACAAGCAGCTCAGGGCGGCACTACTAGTCCAACCTTTGAGACAAGGGTCTGAGAGACCAGTCAGAAGGAGTACAGACAAGGCAAGAACAAGAGCAGGGCGGCACTACTAGTCCAGCCACTGGGAGAGGACACAAGTTCAGTCTGAGTATACGTATAAAGGACAGTACAAAGTCAAGGTCCTAGGACACAGCTCTACCAAGCTGTACACAGTGCCGCTGATGATCTTTAGGCGCAAGCGCCTTCGTAAAGATATCAGTCGTGTTGGCACCTGAGGCCAAGTGTACTACGCGAGCCTGACGTCGCTGCTGTAGCTCACGCAGGAGGAAGTACCGCAGCTGAATGTGCTTTGCTCTGCCCTCGAGTCGAGGCTCTTGACACAGGAGGATCATGGCCCTGTTGTCGGCGAACAGGACCGGGGCAGAGCTAGGCCGCTCACCTAAGTCAGTGAGCAAGAAGGTCAGCCAGCGGAGCTCCTGTGCCGCCATGGCACCAGCGTAGATCTCAGCCTCACAGCTGGACTGCGCAACAGACGAGGAGCGGGTAGCTCTCCACGAGACGGCACCTGAGCCAAGGCTGAAGCAATAGCACTGGGTAGACCTGAGTGTCTCAGCGTCGTCTGCCCACGAAGCGTCTGTGTGTCCAGTAAGGACCACTGGCCTGCGTCCTCCTAGCACTAACCCCATGCCCGATGTACTAGCAAGATAACGCAGAACCCTCTTAGCGGCAGACCAGTGCTGCGGTCGGTGTCTGCCTGTAGCCACAAAGCGAGCCAGGATGCTGAGAGGGTATGCGAGATCTGGGCGAGTGCAAGTCATCAGGTACATGAGGCAACCCACCAGCTCTGCGTAGGGGCCGCTGGGCTCTACCAACTCCTCAGACACTAGAGCGGAGAGTCTGTGGTCTACAGGCAGAGGGGTGGGCTGTGCAGAGGAGAACTGAAGGCTAAACCTCTGAAGGACCTGGCGCACCAAGTGTGACTGAGTCAGGGTGATGGTGCGCGCAGCTCTGTCCCTGGAGATCTGCAAGCCAAGGTAACGGCGCAGTTCTCCAAGATCAGTGCACGTGTGTTTCTTCAACAGCTCTGCCTTCACGGAGGCTAGTGCGTCCCTGTCTGCTGTGGCAAAGACCAGGTCGTCGACGTAAACAAGGATGTAGAACGGAGTCTGGCCAGCACGAACGAAGAGTGAAGGGTCTGCGGAAGACGGAAAGAACTGCAGGTCAGCAAGAGTAGCACGGAGAGTGTCGTGCCACTCACGACGAGCCTGGCGCAGGCCGTAGACGGGGCGCCGCAGGAGCCACTGGGTCCCAGGAGGGAAGGTACTAGTAAAGCCCTGAGGACGATGCAAGTAGACCTGCTCGTGTAGGCTGCCCTGAAGGAAGGCAGTGGAGAAGTAGAGGGAGTGGAGCTCGTAGTCACGCTGAGCAGCTAGGTGTAACAGAACCCGAAGAGTAGTCATCTTCGGGGTCGGAGCGAAGGTCTGGAAGAAGTCTACCCCCTCACGCTGACTGAAGCCTCTAGCCACATAGCGCGCCTTGAAGACAGGCGGCTCTCCAAGAGGGCGCTTCACCTTGAAGAGCCAGCGGCCATCGACTACGTTCACCCCAGGCGGGGGAACTGCGTCGACGAAGGTGCCGGTGGATCTCCAAGATGCCATCTCCTGCTCCATGGCAGCTATCCACTGCGAGGCCCAGGGTCCCGAGGTCGCCTCAGCGTAAGTGCGAGGGGTCGGGATGTCGAAAGCGTCTGGGTCACCCTCAAGGACTAGCAGCATGGAACAGAGATGGGGAGCAGCCTCGGACAGGAAAGCAAGCTCGAACTGGCGGTCCTCCAGGACGTCACTGCCAAGGGCAGGAGCACCCCCGACAGACGGAGGACAGGCAGGGTCAGAGACCAGAGCGGAGGCGTAGTCAAGGCGGCGGGTAGAGGCGAAGTCAGCGACAGCAGCGACAAGAGCGTCAAGGCACGAGGCCGGAACAGACGGGTCGGTAACGAGAGAGGCAAGGACCCGAGGAACAAGGGGACGAGCGGCACGAAGGTAGTCAGACAGCGGGGGGGGTGCAACAACAAGGGAGGACGGAGGAGGCGACGGCAGAAGGGGAGGACGAGACGCGTGGGAACGAAGCAACATAGGGTGGGAGCGCAAGACAGGCGAGGCAGGACGAGCACGGGAGGGACAGTGAGACCAGACGTGCGACGGAGGAGTCGGGTCAGGAGACAGAGGAGGGGACACAGGAGGGGAACGAGGGGGGAGACGGGCAGGGGACGAGTCCGGCGGAGGGAAGACAGGGCCGTAGACAGGAAGAGGAGGAGACGGTCGGGGAGGAACCGACGCAGGGTCGGGGGACGGAAGGCCGAGCAGGCGAAGGGCTGACACCGGCGGGGATTGCTGCTGCGGCGGCACAACGGCGACACCTGGACCGCAAGCTGCTACTCGGCTACCACCGGCACTCTCCACACCAGCACCCCCAGAGGGACCACCCCCAGGGCTACCGGGACGAGCACCCCCAGAGTCAGCGAACGGGTGCTGCGACGGCGGCAGCGGCAGCGGCGGCGGCGGCGACCGCAACAACGACGGCTGCAGCGGCGGCAGAGGCGGTGGAGGGTGGGACTGGGGAGGGGACGCCAGGGGAGGGGCGGCCAGCGAGGACTGAACAGGAGGGCCACCAGAGTCAGAAGACTCCTCAACCGGGTCCACCGACTGAAGGGGGGTGACGTGGGACACACCAGAGGGGGCGGGACGGGGAGGAGGAGGAGGAGGGGCAGGGACGACCGGGGAAGGAGTGACCAGGAACAGGGGGGGGGTAACCGGGGGACCACGGTGGGGGAAGCGACAGTAAGAGACAGACTCGTCAAAGGTGACGTCACGAGAGTGAAAGAACCGGTGAGACGGCGGGTGGTAAAAGTGCCAGTCAGGCGCGTCAAGGGGAAAACCGAGGAAGACGCAGGGAAGGGTGCGGGCAGTGAGCTTGTCCGTGCCGGAGGCATGGACGTGAGCAAGGCAGCCCCAGACGTGGAACGCAGACGCGTCACCAGGAGACCCAGTCCAAAGACGGGTCGGCGAAACCTGCGGCTGCTGAGGGTGCGGCCACAAGTTAAGCTGGTGAGAAGCGTAGCGCACAGCGAACGGCCACAGAAAATGGGGTGCACCGGCATGGATCATGGAGGTGCGAGCCACCTCCATGACCAAACCGATGCGTCGCTCAGCGACCCCATTCTGCTGTGGGGAGTCCGGTAGGGTGAACGTCTGGGTGATGCCCTCCGCACGACAAAAGCGACCAAGGACACCTGAGGCAAACTCGCCACCACGGTCTGAGTGAAGACGCAGGACAGGGAGACCGCGGTGGACACGCGCAGAGACAAGCCAGGGGATGACAGCTCCAGGCACGTTGGCCTTGCGCTCCAGGGGAAAGACTGTGGTGTAACGAGTGAAGTCGTCGACAAGCACAAGGAAGTAGCGCTCTCGACGCGGCCCAGGGACGGGGGCGGGGCCCCAGACGTCCAGGTGCAGGGTCTGCAGAGGCGCGGCAGTAGGGGGAAACGAGGAGGAGTGAGGGGCACGGCGAAGCCGACCCTCGACACAAGGCGTGCAAGGTGGGGCTGGGGAGGAGGGAAACGCGGGGAGGGAACCTGGGAGACCAAGGACAAGACCGTGCTGGGACATGTGACGCAGACGCGGGAGTGCAGGGTGACCTAGGCGGTGGTGCCAAAGGAGGGTCGGGTGAGTGAGGGACCGACAGGAGCAGGCAGCAGCAACATGGGTGAGCGCTCCAGCCGGGGGGGTCACGGTGTCCAGAGTGAACAGGCCGGACACCGGGTCCCGGGGGAACGTGGACAGGGGGGCTCCCGTGGCGGCCTCGGTACAGACAGCATACCGCTCGTGACCAGGGAACGTAGTGGTGACGCCAAGGTCCTGGAGGCAGCCGACACCAACTAGGTTCCTGGAGAACGAGGGGATATGCAGACCTGTGAGAGTGCCCGAAGGAACCGCCGGACAGGGAAGGGTGGTGGAACTGCGGGCGACTACTGGACCGCCGGAGGGGTCAGCAAGAGAAACGGCAGCTGGAACAGGAAGCGGCGTCAGGGTGGTGGAGTCGCGGAAGAAACACCGAGAAGCGCCAGAGTCCAAGGTGAAGGAAAGCGAAGCAGAGGCGTCTGGCGATGGAACGACGGCGGAAGCACCAAGACTACACAATGCAGGGGATCCTACGCCTGACGCAGTAGGGGAGGCTAAGCTAGGCACACCTACACTAGGCAACAGCAAGTAATAGGCGGGAAGCACACTAGAGTCATCAGCATACATCACATGCAGAGCAGAAACAATGGCATCCATGTCCATATCAAAAATCTGAATCTTACGACTAAGCAAACTGTGCCAGTCCGGGAGGTCTGGCGACGGGCCGAAGCGCTGACGAAAGAGGTCGTCCAGGCGACGAAAACAGCGGGGAGTGGAGTGATCGATCTTACCGCAAACGAAGCCGCGGCGAGGACCGGTCTGGATCTGGTACTGACAATGCCCGCCGCCAGAGCCACCACTCGGCACACCACCACGCGCCCGGCCACCGCCAGCGCCGGGCCACCCGGGCGGGAGGACACTCGTCTGCCGCGTCTGCGACGGCTGCTGCGGCTGCTGCGAAGGCTGCGACTGCGGCGGCTGCTGCGGCTGCTGCAATTGCAGGGGCGGCGGCTCAGCTGGACTGGGCAGGGCCCCCGCATCCGCTCCAGCACCAGACGACTCGACCCCACCACTACCCCCTCCCGCACCCCCGCCGCCGCCGCCGCGCCCAACCTTGGGGCGGCGGCCCTTCCCCGAACGAAACTGCGCTGCAGCAGCAGTCTCAGCCACTGCGGCAGAGCCGTCGGAGAAGGTACACTG